GCTTTTGCACGCAATTCTACTTCTACTCCGATGACCTTTTGGAGGAAGAAGAAGATTTTTCAGGCAGCGAACTTGTTGTCTCTGACGTTAGCGATAGTGATATTGTTGATGATGATGTGCAGGATGAAGTTGTTCCTAACTTGTACATCTTTTGGGATAAACATTATTGCTTTCGTTTTTTGTTGATGCAGTGAAACAGGAGCACAGATCTTCATAATCAATTTTTTTTGATTTTTTAATCTCTTTTGAAAAATTTTAAATTTTTTTTCAATTTGTGCCTAAATAAGGTACAAATTAGAGCTCTTCATACCACGCTTTTTTACCTTTTCTCTCTTCCTCCCCCCCCCCCTAGACTCACATACCCCCTTCACCCTGGAAGGTCGGAAACAGCCGAGACCCCCTTCACCTGGGGAGAGCCCGGCTCCCCCTATCGCACCTATGGTCTGTACGCCTTACTCTTCCCGCACAATAATGGCATTGCAACTCACCGCGCTATGCGGACTATCACGAATGATTTGTAAACAACTATTCATTCCAAAAGCTTTTTCCATATTAGATCGGTAACTTCGCGCAAATGAAACTTTTCCCAAAAGAAAATGCAAATTTGAATTGGTTTTTGGACTTTTCATGGCTTGTTTTTTGCCATAAGATACAATAATCACCGTGGACTACATCTCCGTGCGAAAATCTTCTCAAATGATCAGGCAAAATCTTGGCAAATTGAACATTCACGCAACCAATCCTTTTTGGCGTCGTCTTCGCAAAGTAATGAACTTTAGTTTGATTTTTTTGGCTAAAGTCCCTGGCTTGTACATTAACTTGTCAAACCTATCCGGGACTTTGCAAAATAATTGTGCTACAGGCTCATTGTATGGCCAAAAGCCAAGTGGATCCGATTGCCGCGCATTTTTTGTGAGGGATCCACACAACGAATTCGTTCGCGCTTTTGTATAGTGGATTCTTATGTTGGTAGCATGCGCTGTGCAAAATTTGGGCTCAGAAGGTTGGCTGGAACACTTTCTACGAATTTCGTGACAGACAAACAAACTTACACACACACACACACCACACACACACCACACCACACACACCACACACACCACACACACACCACACCACACACACCACACACACCACACACACACCACACACACACCACACACACCACACACACCCACACACACCACACACACACCACACACACACCACACACACACCACACACACCACACACACACCACACACACACACCACACACACCACACACACGCACCACACACACCACACACACACCACACACACACCATACACACACCACACACACACCACACACACCACACACACACCACACACACACACCACACACACACCACCCACACTACACACACACAACACACACCACACACACACAACACACACAACACACACACACACCACACACACCACACACACACCACACACACACACCACACGCACACCACACACACACCACACACACACCACACACACACCACACACACACACAACACATACACACACCACACACACACCACACACACCACACACACACCACACACACACCACACACACAACACACACACCACACACACACAACACACACAACACACACACCACACACACACAACACACACAACACACACACACCACACACATACACCACACACACACACCACACACACAACACACACACCACACACACACACACACAACACACACACCACACACACAACACACACAACACACGCACACCACACACACACCACACACACACACCACCCACACTACACACACCACACACACACCACACACACACACCACACACACACCACACACACACACACCACACACACACCACACACACACACCACACACACCACACACACCACACACACACCACACACACACACCACACACACACCGCACACACACCACACACACACCACACACACCACACACACAACACACACACCACACACACAACACACACAACACACACACCACACACACAACACACACAACACACACACACCACACACATACACCACACACACACCACACACACAACACACACACCACACACACACACAACACACACACCACACACACACAACACACACACACCGCACACACACCACACACACACCACACACACACACCACACACACACCACACACACACCACACACACACCACACACACACCACACACACACCACACACACACACCACACACACACCACACACACACCACACACACACCACACACACACCACACACACACACCACACACACACCACACACACAACACACACACACCACACACACACCACACACACACCACACACACACCACACACACACACCACACACACCACACACACCACACACACACCACACACACACACCACACACACACCGCACACACACCACACACACACCACACACACACACCACACACACACCACACACACACCACACACACACCACACACACACCACACACACACCACACACACACCACACACACAACACACACACCACACACACAACACACACACCACACACACACAACACACACAACACACACACACACGCGTAAACACCCTTAGCCCGTTATTATAAGTTATGATGTTGTTCGCCAAAATCCCTTCAAAGGTGAGTTGATGTGGTGAGGCATAACCCCAAAAAGCTGTGGTTGCCGCACCTTTTTAGGAGATGTGCCATATCTCATTTACTTACTTTCAAACCATTCATACATCCAAGCTTTTTACATCGTCAAGACCGTTAACTTCTTCTCTCCAGAGAGGAACCATCTAGATCGTTGCTTCTGGAACCTGTACTACTCAAAAGAGCCATCTTGCTCTACAAGAACTGTTGTTCGTTTTGAGACCAAATCTGAATATCGTTGTTTGACGACTTCTCAATGCACAGTTTGAGAGACGATTGGCGATTGCGTATGTTTAGAATGTTACATAGTCTATGCTCTGCATATGCCTTAGCATTCGACTAGTGGTAAATTCAGCGCAAGAAAGCAGGAAACGTGACGTTTTTCTTAATTTTCATCTCCTTTTTTCTTTCAAGCAGAATCTAGCAAGTGGAATCATGTATTTCGTAGTATGTGCACCGTATGATAAGCAAATTTGAGGTCTGTAGACTCTTTAAACTGAACTTAATCAAAAAGAATTGGGCCTTGACTTTCGATACAAAAACGACTGAGATTAAGATTGCATGTTATGCGAAACTTGCTCCTACAAAACTGCACATTATACTTGGGTAATTCGAAAATTTTTCATCGAATGGATGAATGTCGAATAAATTCGAAAAGGAAGAATTTTGATTAAACGAGTATCGATTGAATTCGAAAATAAAAAATTTCGAATAAACGAATATCGAATAAATTCGAGGTTCAAAAATTCTCGAATGAATGAATTCCGAATAAATTCGAAAAATCAAAAATATCGAATGAATTAATATCGAATATACTTGAACACTGGAAGTCGAATTTCGAATAAATATTCGAATGATTTATCGACTAACTAGAGCAACCGTATCTCAAACTTGCCGACATATGTGGCTAAAGCCGATCCATTCGTATTCAGCACCCTCTTATCCCCTATACCAACTTAGCTCAAAATTCTCCAAATATCGCTGAAATCGATAAAATAAATTTCGGTTTTAATTAGCATGATCCTCATTTACCCCCTCCCCCTGTATCAACTCCCAACCTCGTAGCTCAAGATTTTCCAAAAATTGACAAAATCGATAAAGTAATTTTTTATTCATAATCAGCACCCTTACTTACCCCCTTGTACCAACCCCCAGTCCGTAGCTCAAACTTCCGATCGATATGAATTTTTATGCTGTACCCAAAAAACTCTTCTTCAGATGGTCTGAAAGAGATTGAGGTACACTAGGAATAACTTTATTTCTTACCAGCATCAACAATGTGAAAGCAAAGTGCCTGGTCTACTTTCTATATGATTGGGATACTCTTCTTCCAAGTACTGTAGGAATATATGATGGACATAAGCAAAACATTATTTCAATTAAAATCCATATACGATTTTTTTACTATCGCAAGCAGTCGGAAGAATGCGACTTTCCATACAGTGTAAAGGTTATAACCAGGGTCAAGCAAGGGGTGTGGCACACGATCGCTGGTTACAACCCCCCCCCTCCCCACCCCGATTGCTGTCCTAATAAGAAGACCCCCCCCCTGAATTATATGCCTAAGATAGCACTACCTGAAGGCCCCGTCAAACATAATAGGCAACGTATCCAAAATGAGCATGTCAATTAATCCCTGTAGACAAAGTTTGAGCGATTTTTGAAGATTCAAGATACTAGGCTACCTAAGTGAAATGATCATATTCCAAGATTAACTTTGTTTCAAAGGTGAATAAGCTCGTTTTTGCACTCAAGACAAAGCACTACTCCTTTTTTGTCTATCTCAGAAATCCCCCTACAAAAGACCTTCAAACTGTGGAATTAGAAGCCAACCAAAATCTCATTTTTTCCATTCTTCGGTTCTGATGGCTGTGCTTTCACCAAATTTTACTCAGAGCTAAGAAGACGAATCAGGCTTAAAACATTCCCATGGAATCTACGAGGTTTAGGCTATCGATTTATATAAATCATCGTAGTTCTAATTCGAGTTCATTCGAACGCTTTCGAATGTTTTTCGACCATGTTGTTCATCCACAAGTCGTCATTTCATTCCTAGATCACACTTTCATTATGTATACAAAAAAGTCCCATAACCTCCATTTAGAAAAACGCGTCACGTCGGAAATTTTTTGGAAACTACCAATGAATAGAACGTAAAACGGTGTTCTCAAATATTTCTTCAATATCTGTGACACGCTTTTCTAGATGGAGGTTATGGGCTTTTTTGTATATATAATGAAAGTGTGATCTAGGAAGGGAATGACGGCTTGATAATTTAATAATTAATAACGATAATTTGTCACACCATGCAACTTTCGATATCACGCATTGGCGGCGAGCGGTCGTGTTCTCATTCGCTCCCTACAATGGTGTCACAGCGTCGTACTGCGAAGAAAGCTAAGGAAGCTGGTGCTGGTATTATTGTGGATTCTACTGCCTCTTCTTCTGATATTCTTAGTCAGTCGCTGCCGCAAGCCGAGGGAGAAGGTAAGTTGATATCTCAACTTCATTCTATCTTAGCAGGCAAGGCTCCGGAGGCCTTGCCGCTGCTGGATCGATTGATCCAATTGATCAGGCCGGCCCCCGGTGATCTCATCGAGCAAGTCAAAAGGTCTCGGTCTATAGTAATTTCAGGAGTGCCGGAATTGAATGACGCTCTCGCGTCTCAACGTCAGGCACATACTGAAAGCTCAGTGATGTCCATTGTAGATAAAATGGACATTGAAACTAGACCACTAGAGATCTATAGGATGGGGAGACCGGGGGGCAGCAGGCCGCGCCTGATCAAGTGTGTCTTTCCTTCGCAGCAGTTCTACTACAGTGCCCTCAAAAAAGCACCACTGCTGCGCAGCTTGCCCGGTTGTGATCAGATCTACATCCGCAGGTCTATGACCCGCGAGGAAAGAGATCACGACCGGGCCCTGCGTCAGCAAGCGCGGGAGCTGAATAGCAGAGAGCACGGTGGGGGCAAGGTCTTCGTAGTTTATAGAGGCGAAGTTGTGAAGGCCTCAGACATTCCCAGCATCAAAGCAAGCCTCTAAAAAACTGATTACGTGCTCAGACTCCTCCTCGGTTACTTGTCTTTTATTAAATACTAGAAGTTTAATGAACAAACTTGTTGATTTCCATCATCTACTTCATACTCAGAAACCGGCTATGGTTTTTGTGACAGAATCATGGTTTAGTAGTTTTATTGATGATGCAGAGATTTTGAGCGATCTTCCGTACAATATTTTGCGTAATGATCGCAAAAAAAGAAGAGGAGGAGGGGTATGTGTATTGATCCGATATGATCTCGTTTTTCGTACTATCGAGCAGAGGCACTTTGTGCCAACGAACCTGATTGCTTTTGACCTTATCTTTGGTGCCAATAACTTTACCAGATTCGTACTGCTCTACCGGCCACCCAGTCAAACGTCTGTTTTTGATGAACAGCTTATTGGCATTTTGGAAAACTTAGCCACGTCTACTCGAAATATCATTTTTCTTGGCGATTTCAATCTAAATGATGTTGACTGGACAGAAATGAAAGCAATCTCATCATCCTCCTCCGCTCGCTTTGTTTCGCTTTTTGAATATCTGGGGCTTCCACAACTGGTTAAAGCTTCCACAAGGGGAACCTCTACTCTAGATCTTGTATTTGCTAAGAGTGAGACTGTTACTGAGATTCAAATATATCCCCCTTGGCAAGCTCTGATCATAATATAGTGTCTTTCAATATAGCCTTGTCTACTGGTCATGATGATATACCTGAGCATTCGTCTATACGCGACTACTCTAAAGCTGACTTGAGATCCATAAAGGATGCATTGTCAAATACTGATTGGTTGAGCGTGTTTGATGGATACTCCAACATTGATGATCTTTACAATCGCTTTCTCAATATAATCCACGACTTGATTGAAAAATACGTTCCCGTAAAGAAAAGACAACCTTCCTTTCTACGTTATCCTCAGCATATAAAAAATCTTTGGATACAGAGAATTAGACTGTTTTTGAGCCTTAATGATCCCCTAAACAATACAGAGTACAAAATTGTCTCTAAAGAGTTATCAAGGCATTTGAGGCGTTACTTGAAACAGAAGAAAAAGAGAATGTTCAGAAATACTGGCAAATGTAAACTTTGGGCCTATCTGAAAAAACATTTGAAAGAAAACAAATTCTTCGGTCCTTTGGAAGACTCTAATGGCAATGTATACAAAACTTCCATCTCCAAAGCTGAAGCTTTGGCAGATCAGTTTTCCTCCGTGTTCTCAGAACCTTCTGCATCATGTCCCATATTGATTAACAGATCCTTGGGTTGTTGCCCTTTACCAAGGATACACCCTTCGTCCATACGGAAACTTTTGAAAAAAGTAAGCCCAACGTTGTCTATCACATCTGACAACATACAACCTATCTTTTACAAGATGTTTGCTGACGAACTAGTGCCTCCATTAACTCACATCTATAATATATCCTTGATGAATGCAGAAGTGCCTCACCTCTGGAAATCCGCCATTGTTACTCCTCTTCCCAAGACATCTCTCAATCCCAAGCTCTCTGACTATAGACCAATAAGTATACTCCCTACTCCTTGCAAAATATTAGAAAAAATAATTGTTAGAAATTTGTTGCATTAGCTTGATAAATTAAATTGTCTGCCTGAGCAACAACATGGATTTTTGCAAGGCCGATCTACCGGTACACAACTTCTTGACGTCCAATTTGACTGGACAGAAGGATTGAGTCTGAATAAGTCTATAGATGTGGTCTATTTTGACCTGAGTAAAGCATTCGACACAGTTGATCACAATCTTCTTTTGTCTAAGCTGGAGAGCTTGGGAGTGAGAGGTTCACTACTAAGATGGTTCGAATCCTATCTTCAGGACAGAACCTTCTCTGTTCGTGTACTTGACAGAATTTCTGCGGCTAGACCTTGTAAGTCTGGAGTTACTCAAGGCAGTATTCTGTCACCGATTCTCTTTATTATTTATACCATTGACCTGCCAGCCTGTCTTATCACAGATCCACGAGTTAGAGTGGCTGCGTACGCTGATGATGTTAAAATATATATCGTCTATGACCAGCGCGACAAGGGGAATGCTCATGCAGCACTTCGTAGCTCACTTTCTCGAATGGTTGATTGAGCAGATAGATGGAACATCAAAGTAAATTACTCCAAAAGTTGTACTGTTCCCATTGGCAGAACCCCTTCCCATTCAAATGATAGCAGCTTTGATCTCGAGTGTAAATTCCTGGTCAAAGACTTGGGAGTTCTCACAGATTCTAGACTTAGATACTCGTGTCAAATAGACGAAATTGCCTCTCGAGGAACTCGAATATTGTATGCGATAATGCGCAGTGTGCAATCTTCAGATCCTAAACTTCTTTTGAAGATCTATAAAACATTTGTTCTGCCAGTTGTGGAGTATTGCAGCTTTGTATGGAACCCTACTTTGGAAAAAGATGTTGATAAAAGTGAAAAAATTCAAAGAATATTTACTAAGATTGTTTTCTATCGCGCATTTCCCAATCCGAATTACCCTTTCGCCTTGCCAAACTACACAACCAGAATTCGTAAGTTAGGTCTCAAAACTCTTTTCTACAGAAGATTGTTAGCAGATACTATTATGGCCTTCAAAGTTCTGCGAGCCGAGGTGGGTTTGAAACCCAGTAAATACTGAGTTTTCCAACCTATCAGTGAACGCAAGGCCTCCTTTAACCTGGTTGTTTCTAGGTTTGGAAGGCACAACATCTCGTTGCAACGCAACAACTTCTTTTACCGAGCAGCTTCGATCTTGAATAAACTTCCACCACCATTCTTAGCTTTAAATTCAGTGGCTCAATTGAAAACGGCGTTGAAGAAAGTAGATTTATTGCAGTTAATGGGAATTGATGATGTAAAGTAATTTTATTTTTTTTTAAGAATTATTTTGCCATCCTTTCTTTGGCATGATCCGCTGCATTTTTCGACGTTATCAATCGGTACTTTGGCAGCATGGGCCTCAAAAGGTTTCCTTTCTTGCTTTTTTTGTCCTGTCTAGCTCTGTTAGTCTCATTGTACTTTCAAAAATTTACTCATCCTTCCTCGGGGCTTTAACCAGCTAGCTTCCGCCCGTAGGCTTGCTGGCCTCCACAAAAGAGGGACTTTAATTTCTGGAAGACAGTGAGACTAACAGTTTTAATATGCTATACACCAGAGTAACAATTCTGGCCACTCCTTACCCAAAGATAATCCCAGGGACAAGTTTTGGTGCCTTAATTTCTCTGTGCTTCCTGCAGGGTACATGCCAACGATTGGGTCATACGTGTTTTTTTCATGTGTGTTTGGTTAACCATGCGATGGTGATATATTGTGTTTGTTACTAACCGCTCCGATCAGGATCAAAGAGCACTTTTTGGTGCATTTAAATAAATAAAAATAAATAAACTTACAAGGGAAAGGATACTTGGTCGAAGTGGCGTTTCCATGAGAAATGTGTAAAGTTTTATAGAGGAGCATGGAACGTTGATTCCGAATCTGCTTTCGTCATCCGCAAAGCGCTTCTGGGAGTGGAGCTGTGGAAAGTTTTGATAATGCAAAAATTTCAAGACGCAACTACACTAAAACCATTCAGTAACGTAATATGTTGCTTAGATGGGATCATAATCATGCGGGGCGCTTCGTGCAGGTAATACCTTCAGTTCAACAAATTTAAGCTAGTCGTTGTTCTATTCAAGCGCCGGAAAGACCTCAATGCTCTTTTTAGTTTACAAGGGAAGGATGGTCGGTCGAAGTGGCCATTTGGAATGAGCTCTATATTAGGAAACAGTCCTCGGTAAGGCAAACTCAAAACTACTTTCGCTAGGTGCCGAGCGGTTTTGTGGGGGGAGTTATAGTCGTCCTCACCCCACTAGTTGGTCGGTGGACGAATTCAAATTTGAATTAAGGCAGGCCTGTCGCGGCAGAGCGCGGCATCTGACCCCCCCCCGTATGATTTTGCTTGTTTCTTTATCATTTTTATTGGTCGTTACTTGCTAGTCTCTATACTATAAGTATGTTTGTAGAAAGTGACAATTTTGTTATTGTCGGAAGTAGTTTCGTGTTGCTAAACTCGTTTCTTCAACTCTGATTGCAGGTAAGCCTGGAGGAACTATACAGATGGTAAACTTATGCTGTAAACCCTTTCTTATT